CAAGTAATTTTTTAAAACGTTCATATCACTCTGTAATATTCTGCATATAATAGTTTTTATATCATATTTTACAGTGTGTTTACTTGACCTGCATACATACAGACATTCTTATTCCACACATTCATAGTCTACACTTAAAACCACTGTGGTTTTAAGTTCAAGTATCTACCTTAAATAAGTTTTTCTAGGTGAAAAGTACATATGTGTATCTTTTCATAACCTAATGTCTTAAAACAGAACAATAAAATAAAAAGCCTGGAGACGAGACGGGGTGTGTGGAGTCAATACTACTTAATATATAATTTCAGTGGATTATGGTACAATTATGTTTCCTGACTAAAGGTAGTGAGATGTACCCTTGAGGTTACCACCCCAATGACAAGAGCTGTCCTGCCCCAGTGCAACCATCTAGATCGTGTTCCTGAATTTCTTTTTAAATGGGTCACTGTACCAAATCCCACATCTTTAAAGCCATGACAACAAGCTCAAAATAAGAATAAACCAATAACGTTGATGTCTGTGCATTCTTTGTTCCATTCCTAAATTAACCAACAAAAACTAAATAAATATTTTATGTTATAGAAACATAAAATGTTAGAGTGATTGCACAGCCTAAGCCTGATGCAAGGCAGTTGCTAAGGTCTTTCTAGGCAGTTGCTATGGCATGAGGGGTGTGTACTGAGTGGTTGTTAGGTGGGTTGCCAAATGGTTGCTAGATGTTGTTAAAATGAATGGGAGTCTATGAGAGGCACGAGGAATGAAAAATGACACAGACAAGTGCAGGTCAGTTTGACTGTGGATTAGAGCTTGAGGACCTTCCTTTAGTGAGTACATGTACTTTGGTGGCTTTCAGGCAAAAGAAATAATAGGGATTGTGTGGGGGCAAAAATTAATGGGAGTCTATGGGACTATGCAACATCTCCATTTTTGTCATTTTTCAAATTTTTACATAATTTCAAAATGCCTGTTGTCCTTCGCATTGTGCGTAAATTGCATGATAAACGGACCAAAAGAAATGATTCAAAATTATGTAGAAAAGGTCTGGTTCCATTGACTTACATTAAAAGTAAAGTATGTTTTTTCCTTCTGTAAAGTTAGCGTTGTCAGTGGTGTTACTCATGAAACATTAGGTCATGTTAAAATTGAAGTCATCAGTGCAAAATTGGTCATTTTTCTACATACAATATGACTTTGAAACTACAGTGCCAGTGAACTATATTTTAGAAAAGTCAAAATTTGAGTCATTTTGTCAGTGGTGTTACTGTCAATGGTGTTACAACTATACTGTTGTTGCTCTATATGACAGACTGATCACTTGAATAGAATATCAGTATTTCCTCCCCATGAAATTTTAATGTTCTATCTGACATATTTGTCAAAATTGAGTCATTCACATGTTCTTGTTCTGTGACAACTTCTTAACATTATGTGAGGTGTTTTTTAAGTTGGACTCTTTATCTAGAAAACAAAATAGTCCTGTCTCCAAACTCAAACTCTAACTTAGTTCTATTTGGTTCCGCAAGCCAATCAGCACTTCAAATACACACAAAAGGACCAATCAGGTTCTGCTTCTTTGTCATGTTGCCACACTGCTGCAGGAAACGATGATAAAACTTTATGGAGCATGAAAACGTGTTGTCTTACATGTTATGAAAGTTATGCCTTAAACATAATTAAATAGCATATAATTTAATTTATTGGGGTCTTAATTACAATGTACATGAACATTAATTTCATTCATTCATCCATCTTCTCTTTTTAGTCTTTCTCCCAAAATAAGACATTTTGGATTAGAGTCACATTTCTGATATAAAACAAAACCTCATATTGCCTCTATACCGATCTGCTACACTCACTGGCTGGGACAGTTTATTACAGTAGCTGGTTGCTGTCTAACCTAAAGGAAACTTAAACTAAAGGTTTCTACCTCAAACTGATCTCTGCACTGGACAAAATATTTAGGACTGATCTTTATATTTAATATGCAATGCTTTTATGAATAAGAAAAAAAAAAAGATTTGTCCTAAAATAAGAAATAAATGTCATAAAAAATAAACAAATAATAAATGTCATAAAAATAACAGAAAGCATTAAATTTAACTTTCTGATAATGTAGACACTAATTACAGTGCTATTTTTAGTATAAACTGTATGTGTTCCTTGAAAATCTTTGCTTCTTTTCATGTTTTGCCAGATAGAATCTTATAATTCCAAACAGAAAGTGAGTTCTTAGGATTAGAAGGTTCTATCTGCATTTGACCTGTTCCAAAAAACTCATTTATAAATGTGATAAGGTCTTGATATTGTACATTTAAAATAAATTAGGGTGTCTGTCATTTCATATGAAAGAGACGTGTTCCATGTATCAGTTTTGCTATTTGCAATGCAAAATCTTGGAAGCTGAATATCTCAAAACCGCTGTGAAAACAGATAGAACAGTATAAGTCCAAAGGGGCGTTTTCTACCCTGTTTGGCGCCACAATGGTAAAATAACCCAAATAGTTCAGCTATTAATTAATCCTAAAAGAGTGTAATTTCATTAGTCTAGTCCTGACAGAGCCATTCAGATCAGTGGAGAATGTCCTGGGGAAAATAAATTCCTGGACGGTGGCCTTCCACTGCTTGGACTGTGTCTGTTTATGGGCTGAGCTCAGCCCATTAACCTCACGGCTTCATGGCTCGCACCCTTCCCATCACAGTTCACTCTATCCTGGCGCTGCCTTGTTGTCCTTGGCCAAACAGCTCCATGGCTGTTGGAAAAGATGTCGGGGTCCAGTTTGCAGTAAAGTTGTGTTGGAGGCCTCAACAAACATACTCCTGCTTTTGTTGAGGAAAGTTCCGGAAGATGAGCATGACGGTCAGGCTCTGAATGTAGACTGTCAACGTTAACAGTAAACAGCACAAGGATGCAGCTAGAGGACACTCAATAAAAGACAGTCTGGTCATACACTTAATCATCCAGTAAATGGGTCTCTGCTCTTCTACTGTACTCATTATTCATTCATTCATTCATTATTCACACATTACTCCAAAGTACTAGATAACTATATGACATATTAAGTTCCAAGACAGCTCAAATCAATTACACTGAAATGCCAAATGTTTCTCAGATTCAGTTTCATTTAAACAGATACATTCTATATGAGACTACGGCACAAAATACAGGGGGTCCTGGGGGTTTAAGGTCATTTAGAGCCTTAAAAACTAGCAGAGCTTTAAAATCTATTCTGAATGATACAGGTAACCAGTGCAGTTCTGTTAAAACGGGAGTGATATGATCCCTCTTTTTGTTGTTGTTAGGATGTGTGTTGGTGCATTTTGTTCGCATCATAAAGGATGCACTGCTTTCTTAGGAAGTCCAGTAAGAAGAGCATTACAGTGATCAACTCTAAATATTTCTATGATGTTATGCTGTCCATTAAGAAAAGACAAGGTTAAGTCAAGGTAATTCCCTTTTCACAACAATGAATAATGCAGAAATATTCTTTAAACCAGTGCTACCATAATGCTTCTTGTATTTTCACCGTGGTAGCTAGCTATATTAGTATCAAGCTAGAGGGGTTAGCTCTTTGTTTATAAGGAATGTTTAAGTCGGCTCTAATTTAAATACTGACATTTTTAGCTCATAACAGGCACACAAGTGGCATTCTTTACTTTTTATCTCTCCATTTTAACTAATGCTTTTTTAAAGGCTTAAACTTGAAGTGTGTCTATTATTATTGTAGCATTAGCCTGTTAGCCAGCTAGCTTTGTACTACCTGTCCAGCCTGCTTGTGAGGGCAGAATACAGCCAGTTATTAAGAGAATATAACATGTAAAAAAGCTAAAGCGAGTCTGTTAAGAGCAAACAGTTTATCATCTGGTTACATTTGATAGACAGATTTCAATGCTAACAGCTGGGCTTTTTCACTGAGTCATTACGAAGCCACAATCTCATGTCTGCTGAAGCTCTGTGCTGTTTATTCGTAGTATTGCTGCACTTGCAGTAACTTCATTTTCAAATGGCACATTGTCACAGAACATCTCAGACACATACTAGATAAAACAATAACTAAGTAAGCACACTTTCTTTGACTTAAAACTTTTTGGCAAAAGGTAAAAAAATGGTAATGAACAACACTTCAGCTTGCCATAATTGTGAAACACAGTGGTCATGTGAAAAACAATGTGGATACGGAGGAGATATGGAGGAAAGACGGAGGAAAAGTGGTTGGGTGAGTAGGGGAGGGTGGGCTGTGAATGGGCTCGAATGTGAATGACACCCCCCTCCAAGGGCCGATGTCATCACTAATCGTGATGTTTCCTAGTAGACATCACTAAACCCTATGCCCACTTTCCCATAAGATTGCTGGGAAGAGTGCAAAGTTATTTGCTTCTCAAACTAAAGACAAACCAGAAGATGTGTAAGATCTCAATTAATGTGTGAAACAGTACTTTATCAAACTAGAAAAGAACATTTTCAAAAGAAGAACTGTTAAGCCAAACATTTAGTTCTCACTAGTCTAGCACTAGTGCCGCTATGGTGAGTGAGTTAGCAGCCAGCTAACGCTGGAGTGGCCAGTCAACATGGAACCCCCCAAATACCAAAGGACAAAACATCTTTATAGTCCGAACGTCTTTTAGTAGTCACTGCATTTAAGGCGCAGATTGAAGATTTTCATCTTTAGATTTTCATAATAAATTTCCAACATAAACAGTAGAAGGTTCAGAAACCTCTTTCGTGCTGCTCTTGACCCCTGGCCTATTCTGGATTCTTTTGTACAGTGTTTACAGAGTTTACCTCCAGCGGCCTCACTGCCCTGTAATCTAACTGACGGGCAGCGCCCACTGCCCACGGCTCACTGCCTTCCTTATAATACAGCACAGCAGCTCTGTTCAGTGTTACAGGTCACTGCACCTCGGCCCCCATCAGCATTTTAAGTCTCCTGTAATGGACTTCACTCAGCAGCACGCAGTTTGACCCTTAATCCTCCACATAAAGTCCACTGGAGCCACAGAACTTTGTGATGAATTATAGAGGAGCTAAAGCATAACTGTGTAGGCCTGGATGAGAAAGAGAAAGTTGGTGTTCTAAGGTCTTATAGGCACTTCTTGGACATTTAAAGAGGTAATTCTTTGATATATATCGATATTGTGAGAGTGAGCAGTCAATCTGAATGGGCTCTTTCTTTGCTGACTCTTTGTATTAATCTTTTACTGCTTTAGTCAGTTTGTCTCTTTTTTATTACTTTGAAACAGGGAAGAAGTTTACTTTGAGTATTTTTGAGGTTTGAATTCATGTAGAATGTTTCCTTTGTTCAGCTAAAATGACATTTTGCTTTGCATTTTTTTAAAGTTACCACATGAAGTATTTTTTAGGCTAAACTGGGAAACCTTTTTTTAAAACTATTTTTTGGGTTGAACTGACAAACAACTTTTTGCGGTTTTTATACAGAATTATGTCATGGACGAGCTTGTGGTGATGCACTATGTTTCAGTGATGGTTGTTTCTATGTTTATAAGTGTACTCTTACACAGTGCTTTAATGCAGGTGTGAAACAGACGCTGCATTTAAGTCTGAAAGTGCAATATTTTACAGCAAATGAGGCAAATATGCTCTAATAGTTTGGCTCTTTATTTATTATCATTTGAATAAAAAGTTTCAATGGTGAAGAAAGCTCTTAAAAATCTTAGGTGAGTACTAATACAAACAGTGACATTATTTACTTATTTATTCATTTATTAATTTCTTATTACTATAGTTTTTAGAACAAACTGTAATGTAAACATTTACCAAAAATATGTTCTCTGCATTTTTTTTTGTCTTAGAATTGCATTTTGTCATGACAATTGTATAATCATAACCATATGGAAAAAAATATATATAGGGACATGTATTTTTATGTATTTGAAATACAATCCCATTTCCAAAAAAGTTGGGGCAGAATATAAATAAAAATAGAATGCAACGATATGCAAATCATGTAAACCATATTTTTAAAGGCAAATACTACAAAGACAACATATCAAATGTTGAAACTGAGAAATTTTACTGTTTTACGAAAAATATATGCCCCTTTTGGAATTTGATTGAACAACACATTCCAAAAAGGTTGGGACGGGGGCATGTTTACCACTGTGTTTAATCAGCTCTTCTTTTAACAAACTCTGTAAACATTTGAGAACTGAGGAGTCCAGCTGCTGTAGTTTTGAAAGTGAAATTTTTTCAAACATTCTTCTTTGATACAGGATTTCAGCTGCTCAACAGTTCAGGTCTCATTTGTCGCATTTTTCATTTCATCATGCGCAAAATATTTTCAGTGGTAACAGGTCTGGACTGCAGGTAGGCCAGTTTAGCACCCAGACTCTTTTAATACAGAGCAGTTCTGTTGTAATACATGCAGAACGTGGTTTAGCATTGTCTTGCTGAAATAAGCAAGGCCTTCCTTGAAAAAGACGTCATCTGAATGGCTGCATATATTGCCAAAAAATGTATATATTGTTCAGCATTAATGGTGCCTTCACAGATGTGCATGTCACCAATGCCACGTGCACTAATGTGCCCATACCATCATGAATACTGGCTTTTGAACTGTACACTGATAACAAGCTGGGTGGTATTTAGCCCGGAGGACGCAGTGTCCATGATTTCAAAAAAGAATTTCAAATGTTGATTTGTCAGACCACAAGACACTTTTCCACTTCCCCTTAGTCCATTTTAAATGAGCTTGGGCCCAGAGAAGGTGGCAGCATGCCTGGATCCTTTGCATTTTAGAGTTTTAACTTGCATTTGTGGATGCAGCAACAAACAGTGTTCACAGACAGTGTTTTTCAGAAGTGTTTCTGAGCCCATGCAGTGATTTCCACTACATCATGACTGTTTTTAATGCAGTGCCGCCTAAGGGCCCAAAAATCATTGCCAGCAGATACTGATTTTTGGCCTTGTCCCTTGCATACAGAGATTTCTCCAGATTCTCTGATTTTTTTTAATGTTATTATGTACTGTAGATGGTGAGAAGCAAAAGTTCTTTGCTATTTTACTTTAAGAAATGTTATTCTTGAATTGTTGCACTATTTGATTGTGCAGTCTTTCACAGAGTGGTGAGCCCCTCCTCATCTTTACTTCTGAAAGACTCAGCCTGTCTGGGATGCTCTTTTTGTACTCAATCATGTTACTGACCTGTTGCCAATTAACCACCAGGTGTTTTTTAGCATTACACAACTTTACCAGCCTTTTGTTGCCCCTGTCCCAACTTTTTTGGAATGTTAGTTTCAACATTTGATCTGTTGTCTTTGTACTATTCTCAATGAAATATAGGGTTTAAATGATTTGCATATAATTGCATTCTCTTTTTATTTATATTTTGCGCAGCGTCCCAACTTTTTTGGAAATGGGGTTGTACATCTGAAATACATTGCAGTCCATGTTGAAATACATTCCAAACACTAAAATGTACTTCAGAATATATTGCCATATTAACTAAATATATTTTATAATACATTTATTTTAAAATGTATGGGGAACTATTACACATAGTCATCTATGCTAGTAATAAAATGAATATTAGCAAAAGCTTTTATCTTAAATGTGCCATAATCATGACAGACAATATGCTATACACTAATGCTAGCTAAGAAAGTTAAGATCCTGTCAACATTTCTCACTACCCACCTGCTTGGATATGTCCTCATCCTCCTTGAGTAGCTTTTTCATTCTTGTCATCTCAGCAGCTCTCGGCCACTGCTGTCCATCTTTACATGATTGATTTATGAAAATTTATGAAAAAAATGTAATTTATGTAAAAAAAAAAAGTAATGAGCTCTGTAGGGCAGTGTCTGTTGTGTCAGAGTCAAATCATCACTCTGAATTTGATCTGCTAAGCTCTCAAGGCTTACATTAGCTTTTTATTTTAATTGCTGTTCCACTTTAAATAGTGAAGCAGTTATACATTAGTGCCCATACATGCATGAATGTAGCTGTTACAACATTTTAAGGTAGGACACAGAATGAGAATAAGAAGGTAAATTCAGCTTCATTTAATCTCTATCCACTATGAGACTCAGCAGACCAGGGCTGCTTAAGGTAGGGGCACCTGGTGTAACCCCTAAATTACAGATGTACACTTAGAAACATTTAGAATTTGCCTGAGCGTTCTTGTGCTCATATGCATGAGTTACATTATATGACTGACCCTCCGGGACTTCTCCCAACTCTCAATTACTCCCAATTACCCACTGTGGCACTGGCAGTGGAGCACAAGTCATTCCATTTTAAAGGAACACTACAGGAAAGAATTTTGTCTTAGCAGAGAGATGAACTAACAAGGTAAAAGTCTGTTTTGATCTTAAGTTGACTGTAAGGCATTTGGCTGTTGAACCCTAAAGCCAGGTTTGTCATGGTGCTTCTACTTGCAGTGTAGTATGCCAGTCTCTTCTTTCACATGCTTGGCCAGGCTTCCTCCGGCCCCACAGCTGGATGCTCTTTTAATGTTGATTTTGTGTGCAGACGTGAAATCCTGTCCACTCATTTACAACCCAAATGGCTGTGGAGCGATGTGATCGGGAATCTGCTGGACCCCGGGCGTGTTTTTATTCCTCCATCGAGGGACGAGAGGCAAACTTCCTCACCGCATCATTTCCATTTCTGAAATTCGGTTTACTTTCTCCCAGATCTACTTGCTGACATCAGCCCTGCTGTTTGAGGGCGCAGTCGGTGTGTGTTTATTTCTTGACTTCTTGGCATTCAGCTGCAGTTAACAAAGTGATTTATGTGATTTTCTTAATAACCAATAAAACATTTGGTGATTTTTTTTCTTCTGTTAACACAGTCATGCGTTGGTGTATGTTTTCCGTTACTCAGTGAACATGATTAGCACGGTTGCACTTCAGTGTGTGTGTATATGTGTGCTTGTGAGTTTGTTTTTGAATATTTTCAGGACACAAATGTCCTGACTTTAAAGGAAAGCATGCAGAGCTAATCTTGAACCAGGTCCTAACCTAAAGTGTTTTTGACTCCATGTTTTACTTGGAGTCAAATCTATCGCTGTTTTTTAAATCTATATATCACTGTTGTCAAAAGAAAACCTTGTATCTCCAAAATAGTAACTTTACAGGAGAAAGAAAAACCCTTCTTTACTTTTAATGTAAATCAATGGAACCAGACTTTTTTTAACCAAGTCACCAAGTCATTTTGGGCTGTTTCTCTTGATCCATTCTTCATGAAATTTACACAGAATGCATTTTCAGATTATTACAAAAACTAAAAAAAAAACAAGGTTTGCTTCTGACAGCAGTGATATATATATATATATATATATATATAACAATTTATATTGTAGGGCATATTACTGGATGTAGGTACTCACATGTACAGTCATGTGGCACCTAAGCACATTATCTTGACAAGAAATTTTTGCTTGTAAAATCACCATAAATCATTAGAAAAAAAGCAAATAAACATAAATACAGTAAAAGGTAACAAGGCCCCAGCCATGACAGAGACTTGTCTTTCCTAAGTCACCAGCACACTTGATTAATAAAGAAGTATTGATTACTCAAACGAGGCATTGGATGATAACTACAAATAATACCGGGCTTCCTTGAGGAGAGGTTTGGAAATGGTTGTGAACACATTGAAATACATAAAATTACTACTTATTGTATTAATACTATTTGTATTATAACATAAGCATTTTTCTGAGCACATAAATGCGCTACTACCAAGATAAATAGCTATATAATAAAATCTAATTTTCTTTTTCACAGTAGTCCACGTCCTCAAAAGTCATAAAAACAAACCTGTTCGCGTGTCTGTGTGTCTATGAGCTTTGGTGTAGGGGAGTTTGGAAGTTTGGAAAACTCACTACAACATCTGCTAATGATTTGGCAGATGTGAAAAGGTGGGGAGGGGGCTGTTCCCGGACAACAGGAGCCGTATTGTGTTGAGTTTAATTTGCGCGCTACGTTGGGCTTTCTTGGCTCACAGTGCCGAGGCGTGTTCGGCGTTTGACGGCTCGTGCTGAAGGCCTCTGACGACAGCCGCACACTGTTGTTGTAGCCTTTGAACTTTTTCTCACTCCGCTCTCAAAATCCTATTCATATAGCTTAAGGTCGAAGGTCAGCTCTGCGGCTCAGCCTGACAGGCTGTGGTAAATAGCACTGCACTCCCGAAAATGAAATATAATGAAAACTTGAGCCAACTTTCTGACAAAACATCATGCTTAATGTTTTATGTTTGAGCTGCTTTCACTGTGCGCTATGATCTAAAGTAGTTACTGGAATGCGTTACACAAAAATGTGTTTGTTGTGCTTGCTTTCTCTCATTTTCTCTCCCTCTCTCTAACATGTGGTTAGAAATAAATGACAGCTAGCATGGGCCGGTTAGCCTGATCTCATTTAAATCATGCTAACTGACCCCTACATGCTTTCAGCCATGATTTGCAACATTAACATTTTTGTGTGAAGTTAGATCATAGTTTTTATCAACTGCTTAACAAAAAAAAAACCTCTGAAATAATGTGTCTATTTAAGATGATGCTAAATGACCCAGACTAGCTTCCAGTGACTGTTTGGAACATTAGCATTTTTGGGTGAGGTTTTTGGTCAGACCATGTGGCCTCGTAAAAAAACACTATGAAAACGTCTTCTGAAACAACAAGTACCCACATTTATTACATATAGCTGCGATAGACTGGTGACCTGTCCAAGGTGTATCCTGCCTTCCGCCCAATGACAGCTGGGATAGGCTCCAGAACCCCACCATGACCCAGAAGGATAAGCGGTTTAGATGATGTGTGTGTGTGTGTATTACATATAGATATAGTACTAATTGAGCCCCTACTTCTAAAACAAAAATGTTAGCAACATTAGCGCTTGTGGGTGAAGTTTTTGGTCAAACCATGTGGCCTGGTGAAAACCACTATGGGTTGCGGGGGGTACTGGAGCCTATCCCAGCGCTCATTGGGCGGAAGGCAGGAAACACCCTGGACAGGCCGCCAATCCATCATAGGACATACACATTCACACACACACACACGCTTACACCTAGGGGCAATTTGGCATCTCAAATTGGTCTGACTGCATGTCTTTGGACTGTGGGAGGAAACCAGAGAACCCCCACACAGACACAGGGAGAACATGCTCCACACAGAGCAGACCCTGGTTGCCGGCTGAAACTCTGAAACTCCGAATTTGCTTCATGTAGATATAATGCTAGCTGACAATATCTGAAAAACATCTCTGGAAAACATCTGAAGATATCTGAAGATATCTGAAGCAGTACTCCTTCTAATTCTATACTTTAAATAACACTAACTGACCTCACCTAGCTTTTAATCACTGTTAGCATTAGCATTTTTGGGTGAAGTGTCTCAGCCTATGTTGTAATGGCATTTTATAAACTGCTGTGGGAAACTGCATCTGAAACAATGCCCTAAATTGGTCTCATGTCAGTGAATTAGAAGAAAACCATCCGTCAGTCCCTTTTTCAGCGAAAGACGTTGAGGAGGAGGATAGAGAGGGCTGCGAATGGTCGAAAGGGGAGTGGACACATTGCTGGACTCTAGTGTCATGATGAGCATGACTGCCTCTAAAGACATTAGAGCCCCTCTCATTTGCATGCTGATAGTGATGTTTAAGCTTTTTCCCTCTCGTTGGGTCAAAGGCCCATTGTGTCACACTGTGTTGAATATGGGGGTCAAAGAGTTGGCACAGACTGGACACTCACTTAACTTTTCTACTGTTTCTCATGGGAATGTCATTGCCGTTATATAGACCAATAGGAATGGTCCAAATTACTTCAAAAAAGTCTCATTACATTAAAATTATAAGTAATGGGGAATTCAGCTTTATACATTTATGCATAGTTCAAAAATTGAGACTGAGAGTAATTCAGAGTAGTCTGATGTGATATTATCCATTATAGAGAAACATACTTTGACTCAGATTTCATTACAGTGGTGGTGATAGGAACCAGACATCACCCTGTGTAATACAGCCACAAATATAGGCATTATGTTTACTTTCCAAAATGACCAGCGAACCAAACGCGCTTCTGAGTTTTGTATGTAATGTTTATGATGGTAAAATAGTGGTAAATCTGAAAAATAAGTTTTCTTTAATGACTATTTTGCCTCATTACCTCTCTACCATGAATGGCTTTTTAGGCTAAAACCTTCTCAAAACTTGAGAAACAATATCTACACATCAGGTACTGTACTCATAACCATTTCATGTTTTAACTTGCTGTGAAGGAGCTTTTATAAGCATTAACCCCTTAAAATAAGAGACTTATTACATACTAGTGCTTATTATTCAGTAACTACAGGGACTTCAATGCAATCTGGTTAAGCTATTCTTAATTTTTGTAAGTGTGTAATAAAACTTTGGGCCTGTTGGTGGGCCCTGCCCATTTAAGGGGTTAAACTCCAGTTCCTATCACCACCACTGTGAATGATTCTGACTCAGTAAGTTTTTCTAGAACGGATCATTTCCATTCTATGTTCTATGGGGTTGAGGTCAGGGCTCTGTGTTGGCCAGTCAAGTTCTTCCACACCAGACTTACCCAGCCATGCCTTTATATTCCTTGCTTTGTGCACTGGGTCACAGTCGTGCTGGAACAGGAAAGGGTCCTCCCCAAACTGTTCCCACAAAGTTGGAGGCGTAGAATTGTCCAAAATGTCTTGGTCTGCTGAAGCATTAAGATTTCCCTTCACTGGAACTAAGATGCCGAGACCAACCTCTGAAAAGCAACCCCGTAGCTTTATCCCTCTTCCACCAAACTTTACAGTTGGCATTTGCCAAACCCAGAGTCATCCATCAGACTGCCAGATAGAGAACTGTGATGAAGTCACTGAGCTCATCAGTACAACCTATTCTACTGCCAGGGTTTGTCTATGGGAACTGCAAGGCTATGTGCTTAATTTCTATCCACCCATTAGCAATGGGTGTGGCTGAAACACCTAAACTCGATATTTAGGAGGTATGTCCCAATACCGTTTGTCTATATAATGTATTTACTAGTGTTATAAGTTTGATTTTTCTGATTCCCTTTTATTTATTTTGCCTCATGGATTTAGGTCATTGGAATGTCTATTTGTGATTTGAGCATCAAGGCAGATACTAAACGTCTGTGTGCTTGTCCTAAAGAGCACCTTTGAAGCCAGACAAGCAAGCTAGTGTTTCTTGGATAAAGATGAAGAGTGAGCTCAAGTCTCTTTCAGGGGTAAAATCATCCAAACCTGATACCTTTTTATGATGCTTTTTGAAGTTATGAAGACTCACTTTTCATGGAGGTCAAAGATTTTGGCTTAAACAAACAAACAGATGCGCACACCCTCTGCAAAGTCGTGGTGTTTTGGGAGTAAATATTGTGTTACATTTTTCAGATTCGTCCAAGGCCAATATTATACATTCTTTATTCAGTGTCTACTTTTTTTTCCCTACAATTCAAACAGAATTTTGTTCCTGCCTGGGCAGAGACTCTACGTGCATTTGCGAATGTCTGTGCACGCTCGTGTATGTGCAGAACTGACTCTGGGGTGGGTAGACACAGGTGCTTCAGGTGTAAAAACACATTCTCTGAGGGAATAACTCCATGCTTTTTTCCTGCTACCTGCTGAGAGAGGATAATTGACCCAAGCTGGTTAGCCTGGCTTTTTCATGTACAAAGCAGTGCCATTAAAAGTGAAGTCATAACTGGACATTTCATTCAAGACTGTGTTACTGCTTCCAGTGAGCTCAAGGCAAAGTCACCACTGAAGGCATTTTTAATGGTGCACAATTCCTACATCTGTATGTTAGTGTTCTTCACTCTCAGTGCTGGAGGGC